GACTGCTTTCTTCATAGTCACCGCCGTGAAAACCTCAAATCTTACACAGGAACTAGAAGTTTTGGGAAGAACCAATCGCCTGATTTCCTTTGATACGACAAGGACCGCACAGAAAACGACGCCTCCAAAAATTCTCCTTTGCAGCGGGAACGTGTTGAATAAGTAATTACTTTCAATAATAGGGGGGGTTCACAGATCTACAAACTCTCCTTCGATGCGACACGGACCGCACAGAAAACGAAGCGTCCACCAATTCTTCGTTTTCTGTATTTGTTGCTGCGAAAACGTGTTTGCCGAGCCACTGCCTAGCAACGACAGCGGAATACACATACAGACAGGAGACAAAAAATGAAGAAATTAAGAGAAAGGGAGACACAATAAGAGAAAGAGAGGAGCATGGAAAGAAAGGGATAAAGAATGAGAATTTTTCACAAATGCAAGTTCATTCGACGTCATTGTCTTTGAGTAACAATAAACTTGTAGTTTTGGAAATTATATTGTTATTCGCACCACTGCACAATCACACGTCAAGTTACCTTCAATTATTAAACCACCGTCAAGCAATTTAGCGTGGCTACACTCGCTTTGAATCTCGGTCGAGATGCAAGACCAACCTTTTCTGTTTCGTTCTTTTCGTCGCAATCTCCATGGCAGTACTTCCAAAGGGACAACATATAAATTTATGGAACTAGCAATTAAGCATGCAGACCAGGATTGGATACAGCTAGCAAGAACCTACGATATATTAAACGACACATAAGCCTACCGCTGATAAAATCTCGCTTGTATGTGCCTGCATATTAGCCTATAGGCTAGAAAACTACATAAGTTTTCAAAAGACCAGCGGTAACTGAAAGATGCAGACAACATTTTCTATAAATACACTTACCTNGAGAATTGTATACTTTTCACATTCATTACTAACATAAAAGACCAGCGGTAACTGAAAGATGCAGACAACATTTTCTATAAATACATTTCACTAATTTCCTGAAGAAACAAAATATTTCAGTTCTCAGAAGACTTTATTATTAAAAAACAATACCGAAGTATGAAGATACTGTCTCGTATAAATCCATCTTCTTTATATGTAAACACAAAACATGGATATTGTTAATCTCCTTCCACAAATTACACCGCTAGGCGGCAGCACAGTCTAGCAACAAAAAGAATGGGTGGGTCCATAGCTCCATGGATCAGTAACAGCAGGACCGTCGCATTGTCTTAACAAAACTATTCACCAAGGTGATTCACAAACAAATCTTGCTAATGGATGTGTCCATTGTACTAAGTAAGCATATACTTCACAGTAATGCCACAACCAGATATAGATCTGTCATTAATCTTTCCACGGACCAAGGGGTTTGTAGTTACAGTAATTTTATATATGTGGCTTCATACAGTATTTCTGTCTCACTCCCAAGTCTAGTTTTGTCTTCTCTCTGTCTTAATCCCGTTAGTGGTTCAACTGTTTTATGTCCGGACATAGCTGTTGTGTATAAGCGGTTGGATTCAAGCAGAATTTATTCCCTGCGTTTATATAGTAATGACTCTGTGCACAGTTCACTGCATGGCTAATTGTTGTTCACTTGTAGATTTATATTAAATGTTTAATTTATCTATTTTCGCGTATAAGGGGCTTGCGTGACTAATAATAATGGGTTCTGGGTGTGATGATTGGGTTTATTGGCACGTCTTTACCATTACAGCTGATTATTACAGTTCATACATTGAACTCCTTCTGAACGACGCCTGTCTGACTAATCTCGGACTGATCTCTCTTCCTCTACTCACGAATCCACTGTCTTTTACAACTTCCACGAGGCCCATATAGAAAACACCAAGTTGAACAAGTTCCTTTGTTGTCCTGTTGGCTGTCACGCGAACCTTGTGCTTAGCAACTTGTTACCCAGTAACGACTCGCTCGTTGCTATACGTTGTAAAGTGAACGTGTTTTTCGAACCGTTGCTCAACAACGGACGTATGGCTCTGGCTACACTATTCCGGCTTTCAGCCATCATGTCACACTATGAATGTGCTCAAACTGCTAAGTAGCTCGTAGGCTACTTTTTTATTGGTTCCTGTCTATGAATTGCAAGATTTAAACATAGAAACGGCGAATGAGAATGACGGGCAGTGAGGACAGTTTCCAGTATCTAAAATGATTAACCTCAAAAATGCTAAGTTAGTATAGGGAAATGAGGCTAATTTTCAAAAGTTTCTCGAACTGACCTGATATTCTGTTGGTTTTAAGTAAGTAAAAGTAAGTAAAGGTATCTTTTGAAACAGGCCGTGTAGGCCCATAGGGTTGTGAGATGTTAAGGTTCCCATATTTTCCTAGATAATCGGCTCAGGTTGTCGGCAAGCTTGTCAGCCTTAAGCGCCGGCCGCCCTTTACCCCCAAGAATATTTCAAGAATACTCCTGGTACTCATTTCTGTTAGAGGCTGAGTCGTCCCCAGGTCCATAGTGCGACTGGAAGGATTAGGTCAACCGAAAAGAATCCAATGAACTCATCGGGACTTGAACCCGCGACCTTCCGGCTTGTAGCATAGTGCCTCAACCAACTACGCTATCGGGTGCCCCCGTTGATTTTAAGATAAAAATTATTTATATTTCTGTATAAATATACATGAAAATTAAGCTCTGACCAGTTTATCTGCATTTAAGGGAGATAATAAAGCGGAATTGCATAAAATTCCCTCAGCTGGNCTGAGGATCTGCAGGCGTATATGGAATCCAGAGTTCAATGCAGCTGTTCAAGAACGAGGATAATAGGCCAGACGAATCCTGTTAACATTTTACATCTTTCAAGAGCAAATTTATGGTAGGTGCATATACTGAATATTGTTCCGGTCCTGTCTCCAATTTCAATTATGTTTCACTTTATAAATGCACTAAAGAGTAAAATCACAAAACATAAAAAGAAGTTAACGCCTAGAATACGGCATCTTCATTTGTGGGTTCTCGGCCTAAATTTGTATATCCACTTCTCACTTCCCAATACACCATTTACAGGTTCACAAATTATGAAACTTTTCATTATATTGTGATATGTATACCCATTGCTAGACAGCGGGTCGGTAAACATATTCCCGCAACATACACGCAAGCAATAATAGGACGTCTATTGCTAGGCAACGGAGCTGTAAACAAACTCTTTAACAATAGAAGACGGTGTTCTCCGTGGGGTCCGCCCCAAGGCTATAAAACGAGGATCTCACAGAGCTAGAATTAGAATTGAGTCGAGTTTTGTAGATGGCAGTCCAAGGTGTTTGTGAAGAAATGGCAAGAAAGGAATTCGGCAGTGCAAAGAAGACTTCAAGTGTGATTTGAAGTGACAGTGAGACTGTGATAAATCCGTTGCCAGAACACGACTAGTGAAGACCGAGGATCCTAGTGCGTGTGCAACAGTGAACTGGAAAGTGTGTAGATCAGCGATGGCGCTGTAATTGCCGGTAGTCCCGAGTTGTGTGAATAAGGTGCCAATAAATCCAATCCAAAACCCGTCTTATAAGTCATGCACACCCACTACACGTGACAATATAATTCCCTCTATCTTTCAACTACTTCCGGTGTGACTTAATGCGCTAAGTTCAACACAAGAGAAATGCATGTGTCACAGAAACGCGGACTGTTACTGTTATAAGGAAACTTGGCGACAGACTTCCGGTTCTGAGACAGTGACTCGAGCATGCTGACAAGTTACGCCGCTTACCGTGTGGGATGGACCCATCTCCTGACCTACAGCTTTGTTTCTGATCTAGAACCCACTGTTCTGTTCGGAAACTTGAATACAAATGACGCTACAGAAGACCCAGCCACGCCTTGGTTCACATCATCAATCATTTCCAGTGGGGAGATTCTACTGTGGCAATCTGTGAGCATAACACTGCTTTGTGCCTGTGTGAACCATCACTGTTACAGGACTGATGTCTTCTGGAATCGATAAATGACGTCATGTTTAATACTTTCCATACGATTAAAGAGCTGAATAGCGTTGAACTCGAAACAGGCTTTCAACGTTGGTGGAGGTGTTATCAATCAAAAGAAGCTTCAATATCTCGACACTTCGAGTCATATTTTACAGGTTTCTGATAAGGGAATTTACAAGTCTTCATGAAATGTACAAATGTAACAATTTTGTATATAAAATATGGGTATAAAGTGAATAGATTTAACTCATAATTAAGACCTCATTACTGTCCGTCCGTCTGCATAATTCATCTCCGAAATTGCCCTACGTATTTCAATGTAATGGTGGGAAAGTCAAAAGGAAAGAGACCACTAGGAAGACCTAGACGTAGGTTGGTGGACAGTATTAAGATGGATCCCAGAGAGGTAGTATGGGATGATATGAACTGGATTGATGTGGCTCAGGATATGGACCAGTGGACGGCTCTTGTGAACACGGTAATGAACCTTCGGGTTCCATAAAATGCTGGGAAGTTCTTGAGTAGCTACCCAATTGGCGGCTTCTCAAGAAGGGCTCAGCTCCATGCATGAGAGTGATTTCAACGTAATACGGTATTTGGCGGGGGAGGCTGTTTAAAGTAAAATATTTAGTATTAATTTAATTTCGGTTGAAGGATATAACTTACTAGAATACATCTGCACTGCAAACTGAGAAGCAATTGCTGTTTGTAGTGGTTACTTACGCTTAATGTCACCAGTTTCTTAGACTAAAGCATTTGTCGGGTTGTATAGCTTTCAGAACACAATCCTCATATTCGGGGCTCATTATATTTGTGGCCGTATTCTACTTAAAGGTTTATTATATTCGCGGGAACGCTAGGTTCGGGGAGAATTGTGTTTCTGTGCAAGTTATTTAAGGCTGCCCATTACGTTTCTGAGCACGTTATAAATTGGGGGGGGGGCATATCATATTTGAGGGTTCATTATAATTGGAGGCCCGTCATATCTTTGTGTGCCCTGCATATGACAACGCACTATATTCCACGTAGTATTAACCCGGGGCAAATATGTTACTGTGTCACTCACCCTGGCGAGCTGTCGCTGCAGTCGCGTCAGTGCCAACCGCTCTCGCTGTCCATTCTTCTGCTCGGCCTCAAGCGCCTTCTCCAACTCCAGAACCCGCGCCTCCAGGCTCTCCTGCACCAACAGATAAACTCTTATCAAGATGCATGTTCCAACACATTTGGGTTAACTAACAGCGTTCCTAAGTCGAATGGCTGGACGATTGTGCATGAAGAGAGGGAAACGTGGCCCCATTCAAAGTACTATTCCAGCACACGTATATCTGGAGGGACCGAGTTAAACCATGAAAACTTTCAGGCACGAAACTGATATCATACCGAGGATGATATACACGTATAAATGAAGAATTGGAAAGAACAGGGAGGCATTTGTAGCATACTTCAAGGTATTATACATAAAAAAAGAAACAAATCAAAACAAAATAAAACAAACCAAACAAAATCATAAGTAAAATCATGTACAGTCACTGAATACAGATATGTACTTCAAAATAAAGTTCCAACAGCTCGAGGACACCAAAATTGAAACATCTGTCTAGCCTGCATAACCTAGAATTAATCCGAGGGAACCAGAACAGTTCTACAGTGGGCAGCAGATTCCTTCATCACAACAACCTGTACGCCTGAAGATCAGGCCGAAACATGTAGTGTCAATGGAGAAAATCGACGAGTGAATACTAATCGAAGACGACATAGAATCAAAATGCAAAGTGAGATACCACCACTATATTTGCCTGGAGGGACAAAGGAAAACCAGGAATCCCTTCAGGTAGGGTAACTGGTGGAATTACGGTAGTCGTCTGCAGAACAACGAAGTAAATTCAATTCTAATAAAAATCTATCAAATTCAATCATAATACCGACTAATCCAATCGATCAATTTAATTCACTCCGTTGGTCAGAACTACTGGGTTTTTTGACTTTGTCGATCTTCTCGTATTCTAAATAACTCCAAAGAACAGTGTTTCGGAAACTGGATCTGTTCAGGTTCTCAGGTAAGATGGTGCTAGAGACCTACTCTGTTGGTTCCGTTAACAAGAGCTAACCTAAATTACTCGCTCCTTCTAACAGACCAAACAGAGTACGTATCTCGCATCCCTCGCCTGAAGACGGAAATAGATCCAGTATCCGAAACACTGTGTTCTTCAATACAGGGCGATGGACGAAGTCCATAAACTCAGTCGTTCCGAGAGTCATACATGGCCAAAGGAACCCTTTAGAATCGACTTACTGCTTTGGTGTGCCGAAGGTTTCCGCACCTCGATTTTGAAACACGACAGGACGTAACAAATGAAAAAGAAAATAGGGTAGCTGATATGTCCTATGGAGATCAATTTCTATATGAATTTGGAAGGTTTGAGAAAGGAATTGACCTTAGTCTGAGTTTCCGAGTATTTTGGTGCGGATCTTGGGGAAAAACAGAATTCTTTAGCTCGGATAATTGGTTTCGGAATCGAGAAGCTAACTCAAGGTCCCCAGAATGCTGAGCAGTATCGATTCAACTGCAACGTTAGGAGTCCCCAACACAATCAGCAATTATCGCCTTCCTGGGAACCTATATTTCGTCCATACAGCTACTCCACTTGACGTCAAAACAACGCTACAAATAATGATAATCATTATAGCAACCTAGGCAGCGGTTTCCGTGCTGTTTATGTGCTTTAGATACAATTATTGCTAACACATAAACACGCCGTTAAACAATGATACTATTCCCTCAGCTAGTAACTTTCTACTAACAGTATCTGACATCGGGGGACTGCGTATGAATTACACGTGGAAGCAGCATCACGTGATGGATGCGGTACCCCCATTTAAGCTTCTGACTACAAACGGCCTAGTCATATACACGCAATGAACATTTGCGTATAGAATAACATGCGTCAATTTATGCTGTAACACAGGCACTTGTGGCAATCTAATTATGGAACAGGTTGTACTTGATGGATCTTTTAGTCACGATGTAGAGTACTAATAAGCTCTTTGTGTTCAGAATTATTTGGAATGGAGCCGAAAAAGAAAACACAGAATTTAGCCATGACTGCCTTCATATATCTGCAAATAATTTGCAAACTGACTGACTGGCTGGCTTATTAGCAACTGACAACAGAATCCGAAAACAAAAGCTCAAAATTGGGCCCAATATTGTCAGTTCAATTCAACTCATACCCTGCTAATCTGTCATTATGATATATTTGAATGCAAGTCTCTCATCTCTTCAGTTCTTGCGAAACTTCCTCATCACAGTAAACACAATTGAATCTGATAAAATCAATGACTATAAAATTAATAACTAAACGGTAATATTACTGGCGAGAAGTACTGTTTACATAGCTGCAGTAAGTCTCCCTCCATCTCTCCCTCTGTCTTCCCACGTCTCTTTTGTTCTATCCTTTTGAAGTCATAGTTTGTTTTGGACTGCGGGTTTCATTCACTCTCTGGATACACCGTTTCAGTTCTATTTTCTTCTGTTCATTCAGTGAGAAATCCCCATTTCTGACCTCACAGGCCCATTTAACTTTCCTACTTTTCTGTAACCCTTCAGAGATTTTAAAAGCTGCATCGCAGGTGCCTGTATTCTCGTGATGTAACGGGACACGTATTTACGTTAACGGGATTCGTTTAACGAGCGACTCTCAAGAAACGTGCCGTTTCATAACATGAACAGTTAAAGCACTTCGTAATAACTGCTCGCTTCCAACTAAAACAGAATAACGAAAACAACTGTATTATATTTCCTCTCCTATTTCCATTAAAATCACCCCCTCCCCTCCAGAAATATCTGCAGTAACTCCACGCAGCAGAACCCTTCTTCGGAAAGTGTTACATCGACCCTGATCATGGAGACCGAGGGGATCTCTGAAACGTAGGTATTTAGTTCAATACTGACGCGGCTGATCGCCGTGAATTCGCGGTGGAAGCTTCAAATCTTACATTACGTGCCAAGGTGGACAAGGAGCTTTTCTTTCAAATGAAATCAAAGCTAGCCGGGCATATTAATCGGCGTAGTCACGGGTTGGACGACCAGAAATCGGACCTCCAGTTCAGGTAGGGCGAAAAATTTCCTTCCGTCACTGTGTTCTACCGGTTCTGAGGCCCACTAGACCTCCTGTCCAATGGGAACCTGAGATTTCTTCATCGGGAGCAAAGCGGTCGGAGCGTGAGGCCAACCGATTGTTCGTACCCAGTGACGAAGTTTAAAAAGATTGGAGGGTTAAGAAACACTGGAGCTATACTTCCACTTCTCTACTCGTATTCAGTAGCGGTGTTTAACTAAGAATAGGGCACTTGTACAATTTTTCCTTCTCGCTCCGATTTTGGAGCATAGCGGTGATTCCTCAGTTTCACTGATCATTTTATACAGACGGTAGGACTCCTTGGACGGGCGATGAGCCCTTCTCAAGGCCTGTACTTAAACACAGGACAACAGAAAAACAGAATAAACACATACACATACCAAACATCCATGCCTTGTGTGGGATTCAAACCCATGATCCCGGCTTCCGAGCGAACGAAGACAGTACATGCCTTAGACCGCTCGGCTACCGAGACCGGCACTTATGCATTTAAGGCGCCCGAAAGTACGTTATCGTGTTCTCAAACAGCAGTTACTACAGACGAACTTGGATAAAGAAGTAACGTTTGATTCCAATTTGGGAGACGTTCGGTTCAAACCTCGATCGGGGCACCGACTATAGTGACTAAGGCTTTTCGTCTCGTCTGGAAAATTCCGGGACAGTATCTCTAATTAGGGAACGGGCGCTTCCTTCCACATTCCTTCTAATTCATTTTTCACTTACCATCCTACAATTTGATGCCATAACTTAACCCCATCACTGAGAGCATCATCAAATAAATAAGAGGCTGCTACCGGCCTTTATCTTAAACTTGTGAACAAAGTGAATAGAGGCGAAAGTGTATAGTCACAGATTACGATATGTAGCTGGATTTTCTGATCTTCCTAAAAGGATAGCTTAAAATTTAGTCCGCAAATTAGATACAAATGCAGAAACAAAGCTCCATATTTAGAACCAACACTCTTGTCCTCCCCTCCACTCAGTTAAAGGGGTTTTCCCTCCTTTTGGGAGCGAGCGCGTATGCGCGCGCAAAAGCGAACACACGAAGCAAAATGACGACATAATAAAGAAGGCTAAATGAAAAACATGTCACTGAAATATATACAAAATTAAAATGCTTTGCCATAGAACTTTACTGTTTACTAATACGGAGCTGTTATCGAAGGAACATTCATAGATGTGGTTCAACTAATTATGGAGCAGCCTGTAAGTGATGGATGCGTGGATGCGTACCAGGCCTACTAATCGCCTGCTTAAAACGGACAATGTACGCTCTGGAGGGTCATTATCACGTGCCAGGCTGGGTAAGACATCGAACCTTCCTTCCCCTCCCGCAAAGCTCTAATCTCGAACTGAGAAACGAGTACCAATAAATTCACTTTCTCCTCCGCCCCCGAAATACAACTCGACCGCCCCTTACTGCGTATGCAACTCGAAGTACTCTACTGTTTCCTTTTCTACAGGAAAGTTTCAGACGTGGGCTGAAAGACAAGTCCCCTGGAACTGTGGCTTGTACTCATGAGCGGAGGTACTTTTACAGAAGGCTTGAAGCAGAACAAGCAGATGCTTTGGACACTGTGTACTGGACACTGCCAATTGTCTCAGGTAGTTTGCATTTAATAAAAAATACGTTAAGTGACATGACTGTTTTCATATTCAAGTGATCTGTCGTTAAAATAAATAAATATAAGAATACAATGCTCTCTGTAGTAATCTGTAGCAATATTATCATTACCTGTGGTAGCAACTGATAGCCGAGTCATTGAATAGCGCCGTTACACACCAATTCCTGGCAGTATAATTAGCGTCCACAGCTATCACTTAAAAGTGATGACATTTCTTCCATTTCAATCCTACTACATGATCCTCCAACTTTTTAAAAATTCGGTTAAGGAACAGCCTCTAGTATATTGCGTAAGTACATTTTTACACTTTTCTCTGATAATCTGAATGCAATAAAAGCATCACACATAACTGCAGACCAACCTCTTAAAGCACAGTAGTAAAAAGGTAAAGTTGTCCCTGTGCTTAATTAATT